TATTTTCTCACGTGGCACAGGGAGACATGATTTTATGCTAGACAGGGGGACAGTATTTCACGTGGCACAGGGAGACATGATTTAATGCTAGACAGGGGGACAGTATTCTGTATAGGGTTACAAAGGGAGGGAATGTTACCGGTAACAAGATGTACCAGTAAACTAGCAGATGTATGGAAACTTTCAAGGATTTTAGGTAATTTTCATAACATGTAAAAAAAATCTAATAATAAAATAAGGTTTTAAATATGAAAAATAGATTGACAAAGCTGTTAAACATTATCCTAAATACAAACCATCAACTTAGTAAATAGCATTGGTGTTTAATATGAGGGTTTCAGCATGAAATATCCTTTATATTAATAAACACTTGTTCATTTGACTATGTCTATATGTCTTTGTTGTCAATGTTTTGGGGCTAAACTGGTGGCAGAAGAAGTCAATAATTGGAAGAGTAGCAGAGTTAATCGCTAATTATGTCAATAGGCAGGTTTCCATTGACCCAGGTTTATTCGAACAAAGGCAATGTCGCAAAAAAAAACATTGTGACATGTGTAATGGAAACGTCAGATATAGGAGAAATGTCCTAAAGAGCGATAAAAAAGCTGTTCAGCAGGGATGGATGATTATTTTGTCTAACTTTCTTTATTGGGACAAATTATGGAAATGGTGTTATTCAAATAAATGATTATTGCCGAATAATTTTGAAGGTACTCGGGGGACGTGATGTCATCACGCAACTAACTTGCACCTGCTTGCTAAATCAATTTTTTTAACTATAGAAATAATGTTTATTTGCAGGACAAGGATTGTCCTGAATTTCAAGAATGCTTCATCTTGCTTTTTTCTGGTTGGCTAGATGCAAGTTTCACCATCCAATTATTTCAGATCTACATGTGTGCAGATTTCATCATGGCACAGACCGATAGGTTGGCACATGACAATTATTAGAGTGTGGCAAATATTAGTCAATGTATCCATGCTGGCTTTCGCGGGCTATACCTGAGACATGAAACAGAGAGGTGGGAGGGCGTATATGCTGTCACCAATTTATCAATGCGCAATTAGCCTAAATGGATAATGGAAAAAACTACGAACCGAAGAAAGCAATTGTCGCATTCTATAAAAGCTTTCTAAATGTTGATTAGATGCTTTTTTCATTAATTAGGCTATTTTCTCTTGAACCATATGGTCTATCCACTTAAACTCATGGACAATATGGATACAGATAAAGAATATACAAAAATGAATATTTTATATGAAAAATACAAAAGTCTGTTATTCAAGTATTCAAGTATAGACCAGTTTCCATAAATTACCTGTTAATTACCAACATTACTTATCATTCTGGTACCTTTGGTAAATGACTGTTAGTTTTGCAACCTAAATGATGACACTCAACATGGTTCCTACCTGCACCAGCTCCTCCTCTGCGTATTTGAGGCGGCTGAGCTCACACTCAGCCCCCTGGCGGAGCTCGCGGAGCCGGTACGACTCCTTCTTGGCCCCGCTGATCTCATCCCTCATCTTCTGCTCCAGGTTCTGCTTCTCCACCGCCACCGTGCGGTTCTCCTCCTGGGCCTTCTCCAACCTGGGGAGAGAAGAGGTGAGAGCCACGAAAACCTGACGAAGGTTTATCTTCACCATCAAAACAACCACCTTCATGTAATATTACCCAAACCCTGGGGTCAACACCTAAGATGTTACACCACGAGATCTGAACCTCTTAACAAGGTGGCTAGGTGTTCTAGTAAAGTCACTACAATACCTGTAACACATACCTACATACCTATATATATATATATATATATATATATATATATATATATATATATATATATATACACATATATACATATATACACATATATATATATATATACATATACACATATATATATACACATATATATTATATATACATATACACATACATATATACATACATATATATATATATATATACACTATTTATAAAACTTGAATAAACTACCAGGTTACATACCGTCCCTGTAGGTCCATGAGGCTCTGCTCAGCACTCTGCAGGCTCTCCAAGTCCTTCATCATCTGTCCCATGTGCACCCTGGAAGACTTGTTCTGGATGTATGCGAACCAGCAGCCCCCCACCCCGATCACTATAGATACCATCAACACAAAGTCCTTCAACCAGTTGTGTTGCGGACCTGGGGGAGACAGGGATGGAATGTAGCATTGTATATTGGTGGTCCAGCTCAGTTGGTAGAGCATGGCCCTTGCAATGTCAGGATAGTTGGTTCGATTCCCGGGGACCACCCATACGTAAAAATAAATACAAATGTATGGACTTCTTGACCTTACAGGAAAACTGTCCTATAGTACGTATGGTATCTTTGGATGTAAGGTTTGGCAAAAAGCTCCTGGTGAATCTAGAGATAGGGGTATGGTAGGGGGGTATGGTACTGTAGTCTGCAGATCAGAGTAATATTACTACTTGTTGATCATTTCCTTGATGGAAGAAGACATATGATAAGTAATCATGGTTTTACCCAGACACCCCCGTAGTGGCATCAAACACTCTCTCATATATACCTGTGTATATTGTACTTACGTAAGGGAGGGCCGAAGAGCACAGCATCTAGAGCTTTTAGATTTAGTTTCTGTTTGTGCCGCTGGTCTAATATCTTTAGCTGACCCGACATAAACGACGGTTCGTTCGCCGCTAATCTGAAACAGAGAGAGAAAACGAAATGTGTTGAGAATTAGATTCTTCACTGCTAACAATGATATAACTTTTATCAACCAACTACAGCATGTGATACATGACTAAGTCTGTATCTTATATCATGTATTAAATAGGCGTTGGCATCAGTGTGTGTATTTTTTTTATTTTTTATTTAACCTTTTATTTAACTAGGCAAGTCAGTTAAGAACAAATTCTTATTTACAATGACGGCCTACACCGGCCAAACCCGGTGTAGGCCTGTGTGTGTGTCAGTGTGTGTGTGTGCATGAACGCCTGCCTGTGTGTGTGTCTGAACATGCCGGTGTACTCGTGCCACCACCACCATCTTAAACTGGATCAGACAACATGGCAGCCAGCGACACCCAATCCACTGCTGTGACATCATTTCATGACTCAGCGCCCATGGGTACGGGGGTGGGGGGGGGGGGGGTAACACAACACCCCTGACCCCCTGACCCCCTTCAACCCCCCTCTATCCCCCTCTATCCCCCCTCTATCCATGTACTCATTCCACACATGAGTACATGGAGTCTCAGTGAGTCTCATTCCTAAAGAGATTCTAATATAACTGCTCTAAGTCTCCCCTTCATGTCATTAAAGACAGCGTTAATGATTCCATCTAAACAAGTTCAAGTCAATTTAATTTACGTTTCACCTTGATATAGCATAATCGCCTGGTGATTTCGGGTTCATGATATAAACTGGGATGTCTAAACTGCACTAACGTGACTATATGGGTGGGGAGATGTTTTGTTAGTTGAAGTGGGCATATGTGTCATGTTTGATCTTTTCATCCCATTCCACCTGCACTACCTCACATATCCAGCAGTAGGCAGCATTGGTCTGAGTAATTAAAGCTGTGTGTATGATGTGCTGTTCAACTTTTCAAACTAGACCTGAAACCGTTTAGCATTCATCTACATCATGATAAAGCACTGCAAGCTATATCTTCACCATCAGCATCACACAAAATCAGCACTATGCATGCATCATGGAAGGCATGATTCAGTTCAGTGGTGTTATGGATGTTGTTGGTATCTGTGATAGTCTTCTGAGGTGGTGTGTGATAATGTAGTCACCGAGGCAGAGTGTTTCCATTGATCCGGAAGTCTCTGAAGCTCCTCTCGTACTGAGGCAGCTCCACCGACTCCTTCAGCCACTGGACTGTGTCCTCCGTCGTCCAGTTATGAACTACAGACAGAGAGACATTTGAAATTGACATTTGCTTCCATTTACCTTCTCTCCCTTCCTCCCTATTTTTAACCCTCCCTCCATCCATCCCTCTCCCTTCCATCTCTCTCTCTCCTACCTTCCATCTCTCTCTCTCCTACCTTCCATCTCTCTCTCTCCTACCTTCCTTCTCTCTCTCCTACCTTCCCTCTCTCTCTCCTACCTTCCATCTCTCTCTCCTACCTTCCATCTCTCTCTCCTACCTTCCATCTCTCTCTCTCCTACCTTCCATCTCTCTCTCTCCTACCTTCCATCTCTCTCTCTCCTACCTTCCATCTCTCTCTCTCCTACCTTCCATCTCTCTCTCTCCTACCTTCTATCTCTCTCCTACCTTCCATCTCTCTCTCTCCTACCTTCCATCTCCTCTCTCCTACCTTCCATCCTCTCTCTCCTACCTCCACTCCTCTCTCTCCTACCTTCACTCTCTCTCTCTCTCCTACCTTCCATCTCTCTCTCTCCTACCTTCCATCTCTCTCTACTCCATCTCTCTCTCCTACCTTCCATCTCTCTCTCTCCTACCTTCCATCTCTCTCACTCCTCCTACCTTCCATCTCTCTCTCTCCTACCTTCCATCTCTCTCTCCCTACCTTCCATGCTCTCTCTCTCTCCTACCTTCCATCTCTCTCTCCCTACTTCCCTCTCATCTCTTCCTACTTCCTCCTCTCTCCTCCTACCTTCCCTCTCTCCTCTCCTACCTTCCATCTCTCTCTCCTACCTTCCATCTCTCTCTCCTACCTTCCATCTCTCTCCTCACCTTCCATCTCTCTCTCCTACCTTCCATCTCTCTCTCCTAACCTTCCATCTCTCTCTCCTACCTTCCATCTCTCTCTCCACCTTCCATCTCGCTCCTACCTTCCATCTCTCTCTCCTACCTTCCATCTCTCTCTCCTACTTTCCATCTATCTCCTATCTTCCATCTCTCTCCTACCTTCCATCTCTCTCTCCTACCTTCCATCTCTCTCTCCTACCTTCCCTCTCTCTCCTCCTACCTTCCTCTCTCTCTCCTACCTCCATCTCTCTCTCCTACCCTTCCATCTCTCTCTCCCTACCTTTTCATCTCTCTCCTACCTTCCATCTCTCTCTCCTACCTTCCATCTCCTCTCTCTCCTACCTTCCATCTCTCTCTCTCCTACCTTCCATCTCTCTATCCTACATTCCATCTCTCTCCTACCTTCCATCTCTATCCTACCTTCCCTCTCTCCTCCACCTTCCCTCTCTCTCCTCATACCTTCCATCTCTCTTCTCTCCTACCTTCCATCTCTCTCTCCTACCTTCCATCTCTCTCCTACCTCATCTCCTACTTCCTCTCTCTCCCCCTCCCTTCCATCTCCTCCTCTCTCCTACCTTCCATCTCTCTCTCCTACCTTCCATCTCTCTCCTCCTACCTTCCATCTCTCTATCCTACCTTCCATCTCTCTCCTCTCCTACCTTCCATCTCTCTCTCCCACCTTCCATCTCTCTCTCCTACCTTCCATCTCTCTCTCTCTCTCTCCTACCTACCTTCCATCTCTCTCTCTCCTACCTTCCATCTCTCCTGCCTACCTTCCATCTCTCTCTCCTACCTCCATCTCTCTCTCTCCTACCTTCCATCTCTCTCCTCCTACCTCCCTCTCTCTCCTACCTTCCATCTCTCTCTCGCTCCTACCTTCCTCTCTATCCTCCTCCTACTCCCTCTCTCCTCCTCACTCCTCTTCTTTCCCTACCTTCCATCTCTCTCTCCTACCTTCCATCTCTCTCCTACCTTCCATCTCTCTCCTACCTTCCCATCTCTCTCCTACCTTCCATCTCTCTCTCCTACTCTCCCTACTCTCTCTCCTACCTTCGCTCTCTCCTCTCCTCCCCCCTTCCATCTCGCTCTCCTACCTTCCATCTCTCTCTCCTACCTTCCAGTCTCTCTCTCCACGTTCCACTTCATCTCTACCTCCTCCTATCTTCCATCTCTCTCCTACCTTCCATCTCTCTCTCCTACCTTCCATCTCTCTCTCCTACCTTCCATCTCTCTCTCCTACCTTCCCTCTCTCTCTCCTACCTTCCATCTCTCTCTCTCCTACCTTCCATCTCTCTCTCTCCTACCTTTCTCTCTCTCCTACCTTCCATCTCTCTCTCCTACCTTCCATCTCTCTCTCTCCTACCTTCCATCTCTCTCTCTCCTACCTTCCATCTCTCTCTCCTACTCCATCGCTCTCTCTCCTACCTTCCATCTCATCCTACGGCCCACTCTATCCCCTTCCACCTCGCCTCCTACCTTCACTCCCTCTCTACCTTCCATGCCTTCTCTCCTACCTCCATCCTCTCGTCTGTCCTACTTCCATCTCTCTCCTCTACCTTCCATCTCCTCTCTCGTCCACTCGCTAGCCTCTCCCACCGTCCATCTCTCTCCTACCTTCCACTCTCCGTCTCCGACCTTCCATCTCTCTCCTCCTACCTTCCATCTCTCCTCTCCTCCTTCCATCTCTCTCTCCTACCTTCCATCTCTCCTCCTCCTACCTTCCAGCTCTCTCTCTCTCCTACCTTCCACTCTATCCTACCTTCCATCTCTCTCCTCACCTTCCATCTCTTTCCTACCTTCCATCTCTCTCCACCTCCTACCTCCATCTCTCCCTAACCTTCCATCTCTCTCCTACCTCCAGCTCTCTCTCCTACCTTCCATCTCTCTCTCCTACCTCCATCTCTCTCTCCACCTTCAACTTCCCTCTCTCTCTCCTACCTTCCCATCTCTCTCCTACCTTCCATCTCTCTCTCCTACCTTCCATCTCTCTCTCCTACCTTCCATCTCTATCCTACCTTCCATCTCTCTCCTACCTTCCATCTCTTTCCTACCTTCCATCTCTCTCCTACCTTCCATCTCTCTCCTACCTTCCATCTCTCTCCTACCTTCCATCTCTCTCTCCTACCTTCCTTCTCTCTCTCCTACCTTCCATCTCTCTCTCCTACCTTCCCTCTCTCTATCCTACCTTCCATCTCTCTCCTACCTTCCCTCTCTCTATCCTACCTTCCATCTCTCTCCTACTTCCTCTCTCTCCCTACCTTCCTCTCTCCTACCTTCCATCTCTCTCTCCTACCTTCCATCTCTCTCCTACCTTCCATCTCTCTCTCCTACTTCCCATCTCTCCTCCTACCTTCCATCTCTCTCCTACCTTCCATCTCTCTCCTAACCTTCCATCTCTCTCTCCACCTTTCCCATCTCTCTCCTACCTTCCATCTCTCTCTACCTTCATCCTCTCTCCTACCTTCCATCTCTCTCTCCTACCTTCCCCCCTCTCTACCTAACCTTCCCATCTCTCTCTACCTTCCACTCTCTCCTACCTTCCCTCTCTCTATCCTACCTTCCATCTCTCTCCTACCTTCCATCTCTCTATCCTACCTTCCATCTCTCTCCTACCTTCCATCTCTCTCCTACCTTCCATCTCTCTCCTACCTTCCATCTCTCTATCCTACCTTCCATCTCTCTCCTCCTACCTTCCATCTCTCTCCTACCTTCCATCTCTCTCCTACCTTCCATCTCTCTCCTACCTTCCATCTCTCTCTCCTACCTTCCATCTCTCTCCTACCTTCTGAGGTTTTCCATCCCTTCCACAGCTCCTCCACTGTGATGTGTTGGTCTTCTCTGTGCAGGTTACTGTGTTTGTTCGTTTGTTGTTGCTTCATATCTTCTCTAATAAACTGCAAGAAGAAAAACACATTTGGTTATTATTACTGGTTATTGTATCATTATAGACTGCAATAAAACTGACGCAATGCGAACATAAACTAACTGAAGTTAAATACAGGTATAGAGTCATGACATTGTAGAGAATCATAGATACCAGCAGACATGACTTACAGTGTGATGTGAGATCTATTAGTTGTGTCTCTATGGTCAGACCACAGGTGTTGTGACTATGGTGTTTGAGCCGACTAGAGTATGTGGTTTGTCTGTGTGTGTGTATGTGTGTGTGTATGTGTGTATGTATGTGTGTGTGTGTGTGTGTGTGTGTGTGTGTGTGTGTGTGTGTGTGTGTGTGTGTGTGTGTGTGTGTGTGTGTGTGTGTGTGTGTGTGTGTGTGTGTGTATACAGTGACGGAAAAAAGTATTTGATCCCCTGCTGATTTTGTACGTTTGCCCACTGACAAAGAAATGATCAGTCTATAATTTTAATGGTAGGTTTATTTGAACAGTGAGAGACAGAATAACAACAACAAAATCCAGAAAGACGCATGTCAAAAATGTTATAAATTGATTTGCATTTTAATGAGGGAAATAAGTATTTGACCCCCTCTCAATCAGAAAGATTTCTGGCTCCCAGGTGTCTTTTATACAGGTAACGAGCTGAGATTAGGAGCACACTCTTAAAGGGAGTGCTCCTAATCTCATCTTGTTACCTGTATAAAAGACACCTGTCCACAGAAGCAATCAATCAATCAGATTCCGAACTCTCCACCATGGCCAAGACCAAAGAGCTCTCCAAGGATGTCAGGGACAAGATTGTAGACTTACACAAGGCTGGAATGGGCTACAAGACCATCGCCAAGCAGCTTGGTGAGAAGGTGACAACAGTTGGTGCGATTATTCGCAAATGGAAGAAACACAAAAGAAATGTCAATCTCCCTTGGCCTGGGGCTCCATGCAAGATCTCACCTCGTGGAGTTGCAATGATCATGACAACGGTGAGGAATCAGCCCAGAACTACACGGGAGGATCTTGTCAATGATCTCAAGGCAGCTGGGACCATAGTCACCAAGAAAACAATTGGTAACACACTACGCCGTGAAGTACTGAAATCCTGCAGCGCCCGCAAGGTCCCCCTGCTAAAGAAAGTACATATACAGGCCCGTCTGAAGTTTGCCAATGAACATCTGAATGATTCAGAGGAGAACTTGGTGAAAGTGTTGTGGTCAGATGAGACCAAAATCGAGCTCTTTGGCATCAACTCAACTCGCCGTGTTTGGAGGAGGAGGAATGCTGCCTATGACCCCAAGAACACCATCCCCACCGTCAAACATGGAGGTGGAAACATTATGCTTTGGGGGTGTTTTTCTGCTAAGGGGACAGGACAACTTCACTGCATCAAAGGGACGATGGACGGGGCCATGTACCGTCAAATCTTGGGTGAGAACCTCCTTCCCTCAGCCAGGGCATTGAAAATGGGTCGTGGATGGGTATTCCAGCATGACAATGACCCAAAACACACGGCCAAGGCAACAAAGGAGTGGCTCAAGAAGAAGCTCATTAAGGTCCTGGAGTGGCCTAGCCAGTCTCCAGACCTTAATCCCATAGAAAATCTGTGGAGGGAGCTGAAGGTTCGAGTTGCCAAACGTCAGCCTCGAAACCTTAATGACTTGAAGAAGATCTGCAAAGAGGAGTGGGACAAAATCCCTCCTGAGATGTGTGCAAACCTGGTGGCCAACTATAAGAAACGTCTGACCTCTGTGATTGCCAACAAGGGTTTTGCCACCAAGTACTAAGTCATGTTTTGCAGAGGGGTCAAATACGTATTTCCCTCATTAAAATGCAAATCAATTTATAATTTTTTATCTGGATTTTTTTTGTTATTCTGTTCCTCACTGTTCAAATAAACCTACCATTAAAATTATAGACTGATCATTTCTTTGTCAGTGGGCAAACATACAAAATCAGCAGGGGATCAAATACATTTTTCCCTAACTGTATGTGTGTGTGTGTGTGT